GAGTGTCTGTATCAAAACCTTTCCAGTAGTCTAAAATCAGAGCATCTGTGAACAGTGCAAGAAAGCTGCGTGAAGGATTACTGGACATTTACTTACAAAGCACTGAAACTAGATTCACAAATGTTTCTTGTATTGTTAATACGAGACTCCTACAGAAGGGCTCATTCATCCTTCATATCTATAAATGACCAAGTCCCTCAGCTTATGGCTGCATTTCAAAAGGGCATTAGACTTCCAGATTGAGCAGCCTTGCAAGAGTCCATCTGGCATTTCCCATATAATTTGGTTTTTTTCTCTTCAGTCTTACTCAATTAAAATCAAGACTATGTGGATTCAGCTACGAATCAATGTAAAAATTATAAACAACTTAAGACTTAGTGTACAGCTAAGCCATAAAACAGACTGGAAAAACAAAATGGTTAAAGCTCTACATGGTCAGCTAAGGGTTTGATTACTGTGTACCAGGACTCAACATGACTTATGGAAGAATGCACAGACTAATGCTAGCCATCTCACTTTTAAGAGTAATGTAAAAGTCAGACTTAGAAGAAAATGTACATCTGCAAATTCTGAGGAAACCACCCTAAGATTCTGGCTTCACTGGCAGAAGAAAGCCTAACACAAAGTTGTATTTTACTCGCAGGCTGCATACAAGTACTCGTAAAGCCACAGGCAATATTATGTTCAGTTTTCCTTTGCACTTAATCACTTGCATAAATATGAATTCAAAGGACTGCAACTGCTTTAAATACACTAAGTGAAATTTCACGTTTAAAAATTATTAGTTTAGTAACTAAAAATACTGATTTCCACATCTAGAGTATGTTCTGTGCACTTTTAATTGACAAATTCCTGACACCACTAAGATAATTTTGATTGAGAAACAATTTACAGAAACACTGCCATGAAATGAACTTGAAGCTTTGATTTAAACACACAGATCAGATATACTTCCACTAGATTTTTAAATATATATAGTTTTCCTTACTCTACCATATGTCAAAAAAAACATTGATAGCAACCATTGCAAACGTATCCAAACAGAAGAAACTATTTAAAAGCAATATTAGAAACAGAGAAAAAAACTCCCCCAAAAGTCAGATGGATTTTGGTTTTTAAGATTTGGTGGTTTTACATAATCTAGGATGCTAAGGCTCCATAAACCAGATTAAATTTTCAATGCAGTATACAAAAATATCTGACATAACTTTTCTCAAACTTACTAAGGACAAAAAAGTGGTTCTATTTCTGCTTAAACTGATTTTTTCCTGGAATTATAGCAGGAAAAATTAGTAAATATGAAGACTCAATTTATTTATCATTGCCAAAAGGCTTTTATTTCTGCCTTTCATTACTTCTTTTGTACTGTTTAGAATGAGATCTACTCAAACAAACCAGGATAAAAACTTCCATCTGATAAAGCTTACCACAACACACACTGAGAGAGTTATAACATGCTGCTTTTCAACATGGTTAACAGATCTCATAAGATACTCAGACTGTATTTGGTCTCTCTAAAGATACCAGAACACAATGAAAAAAACCTCAAAACAGCCAACAATTTAATCATATATCACTACATACTGAAGAGGCCAACGTTGCCTAAATTTCTGTTATGAATTAGCGCTGCGTTTATTAAAGCCATGCAACAGGTCAGTGGCAGAGCGCCTCAAGCACCCAATCCTGTCTAGTCCACACTGCATTGTCATTAACTGACAGTATCAAAAGAGCAGAACAAGCATCAGATGTTAAATTTCTGTAAGTTTAAACTGACTCACAGTGTGAGTGTGGTCCTTCGACAAGGTTAAAAACAACAGTCTATGACAGAAATACAAAAAGAAACTTAAAGTAGTTAGTTAGTCTTCAGGAAAAATTGGCCTCTTCCTACTACAGGGAAA